TCGTGGCAATTTATTGTTGGTTTGGTTAGGGAGCTAGGTGGTAGTATTGTTTTTGTTTATCTCACGCAGGATTAGTTTAGATTGGGGTTCGTTCGGTAGTGGTGTTTTGTTTGTTGTTTTGGCCTTGTCACTCCCAAAGTCTGTTACATCTGGTGTTTGTAAAAAATAAAAAAAACATAAAAAAGATCCCTCTTGTTTCCCGTGTTCCCTTTCCCTTATTCCCTGCTTGTCTCGTCTTCCCCTCTCTCTTACCTTTCTGGTGATCCCTGTCCCTGTTCTCACTGCCGTTACTCCTCGTCCGCACACCCTGCTGTGATCAGGCCTCCACCTTCATCTCTCTTCTACACTGATGGCCACCCAGGTGTCCTGACATTGGTCGGCTTCCTGAAGTCACCGCAGGAGTGTAGTCTCTCCATATTAATCCAATCCAGCCTCTTGGGGGGTGCTCTTGCATATTCAGCAGTAAAAAGGCACTAATGTGTTCCAAGTCTCTGACTGCACACAGACAAAGGCTCGCATTCCTTGTAATGTCATTGACTGTGCTGAAAAGTGTCAAGCAGAAAAAACTTAAGCAGATAATCTGATGTTTAAATCTGCTTTTGATTGGCCTTCAGGTCTAGGAGATCGACTCCTTTTGGTTGGACCTCCAGTGATGCTCAGCCTATTGGAGCGAAATCAATCAGTCTTCCGTTAAAAATCCTGCTGACCTTGCTGATGTGAGCATCCAGAAGACAAATCGAAGCCTGCTAAAGCTGATTTGCTCCACTGCTTTTCCTGTTTGTCCTCTGCTTCTGCTCCTGAACACTTACCCTGCAATTCGTACTTGGCATGACCTGGAGGAACCACATGACAGTGTTTGCACCAAAGAAAGACAATTTCATACTATGTTGGCAAGTAAGATGTACAGTCATAACGACATTTTGGTGAACGACAGACCGTATGTATCACAGGGTTGCCATAAGATTATGACATTGCTGAAAAATTCCTAATGCCTAGTGACGTCGTAGCCGTCGTAACGTCGTAGTACAGCACACAACTCTCGTGTATGTGGTGATACTGGTGTAAACAAACCTGCACTGTCAGTCATGTAAAAGGATAGCACATACAATTATGTACAGTATATAATAATAATGATAAACTATGTTATTGGTTTATGTATTTACTACACTACTTTTTACAGTCATTTAGACTATACCATATAGGTTTGTGTAAGTACACGCTATGATGTTTGCACAGCAACGAAAATGCCTAATGACACATTTCTCTGGATGTATCCCTGTCATTCAGTGAAGCATGACTACTCGTGTATTCTTCCTTTCACTTATGTAAAGATTCACAAACAAAACCAAATAATTAAACTGAATAAAAGAAGGCCAACTGCATATGGATTTAAGGTTATACATCGTCTGTCCTGAAGAGGGCGTCAGATGAATGTGAGTCAGTTTTGTGACTGTGCTGTCAGATCTGATGACTGGGCTCAGTACTGGCTTTGTATAAGTCAGATGAGTTTTTTTTCAGTCTCAGGTCTACAAAATCTCCTTAGTCATCCAATGAGAGCCAAAATAAGATGTAGCTGTATTGAAAGAAAGCTCTGGATATTAGAGCACAGTTAGAGCCAATGATACTTTCAGACAAGAACTTTCCACATAGACCAGCTATCTACAGCATGGGGTCTACTGGTAGCCTGATGATCTTCTGGACGTATCTCCAGGAGCCCACGCTAAGCAGCTAATGGGGGAGCATGAAGGAAATAAATCAGTTATTAGTTTTGTTGGTAACACTTTACTTGACAGGACACAAATAATATAGTATTATGCTACTACTTATGTATTAATTAACCACAAATTAAGTCTTAAATACTTATCTCATGTTAGTTCATCATTAATGAACGGTGATGCATATTTTACCTGAAGCAGTTGCTATATGTTACTGTATCTGTCCTGTAAACCTTTGTGAACTACTGAAGGAACAAGTCATGAATAACAAGTGAAATACTGATCTCATGTTTGTTCATCATTAATGTATCGTGACGCATCTTTTATCCCAAGCAGTTTCTATATTTGTTACTATATCTGGTAATTCTGTAAACCTTTGTAAACAACTGAAGGAACAAGTCATGAATAACATACGTTAAATAGCAACTGTTTGTTCATGATTTGTACTGCAATAGTAACTGAGTTATTACTAAGTATTTGTGCCCCCAAAAGCAAAGTGTTACCGCTTCATTCCTCAAACCTCAGCTAAGCTCTTAGGAGACGTGGCACTTTGCACAAGTGAGTCCGTCTCTGGAAGCTGATAGCATGAGGCAGAGAAAGCCTAGGAAGCAGTAAATATCCTATTCTGTTGTGTTTTAATCCCTTTTCTGTGAGATGCTCACAGATTATTCCTGCATTAGTGCTTTATATAGAGTACATCTGTCTATGTATGTACCGAGTGTATCCGCCCATTAGTGTGTCTGCGTGTGTGATTGTGAGTGTGTCTGCGTGTGCGGGCGTGAGTGTGCTCTTGTGGTGTCTCGTCACTTTGATTCAGATGTACTTCTCAGCTTTGAAGTGCAAGAACGTCTGAGTAAATGGAATCGGAGTTTTCTGACACCCGAGCGCATAACAGGACGTGGCACCATCCAGCAGGAAGCATCACTGTCCCTGATTTTCAGCTTCCATGCAGCATTCCAAGGCCTCAATGCAGCATCAGTGAGTGTTTTAAGGCTGTTTAAATAGTGAGGAATGGCTCATTCACTCAGTCAGCCCAGAGTATGTGACATGAGTGAAGGGTTAGGTTTAGGGTTAGGTTTAGGGAGTGAAGCACAGCTCTGCTTCTGAACTCTGTCTCACCCTGTGTCTTCAGTGCAGTTCAGTTTAATTATCATCTTACCTGACAAGTGTACAGTGACGGCCTTCACGTAGGTCATGTTCCCTCATTTAACTAAAGTCACAAAGCAGTGATATTTACTGTATTAAACAGTGCATGACAGCGCCGAAACATAATGCAACATGTTACCAAAAGCAGGGTGACGGTGCAGCATAATATGTATTATAGCATGTAGTGTAATACATAGTGTAATAATATATTAAAGTCAGTAACTAGCTTGAGGTGGATGGGCAACAATTCAAGTTTCGAAAGATGTTCAGAGGTGTATGAAGTGTTAAGCACAGTTTGCAGTCCTGTGTTCAGTAGATCACTGTGGTATGTGTTTGTCAACCTGATCCTGGGAGACCCCCGGACATACCACTTTTTTGCACCCTACTGGGTCCTGGCACAGAGTGGTGGCTCTGAGGCTAGAGATCTGTGGCATCAACTGGAAGGTTACTGGTTCAAATCCCTTGAATGCCCAGAGTGATTCTGCTCCGTTGGGCCCTTGAGCAAGGCCCTTAACCTGCTTTGTCCTGGGTATGACATTAATCTACATCCAGCCCTATAAGGAGATCCTCCAACTTACAGGGGAAAAACTTGGGGGTTGGTGGCAGGATTGACACCCCAGCAACCGGAAAAAACCTCATGCTGGTCCATTTGGACTAGTGTGGTGCTGAAGTATAACCCGCCACATAGCTGCACTCAGGCTCTCATCCCTGAGGTGGTTTGTCGTGTGGTGGGTGTGGCAACACACTGTACTCAGTGCATGCTCCTTACCTCTGGGTCCTGGGAGACCCCCAGTCAGTCCACATTTTTGCTCCCTACTGGGAGGGAGCACAAACGCAGACTCTCTGGGGGTCCCTGAGAACCAGATTGGAAAACACTGTATTGTAGGTTGGATCCCTGATGGCCTAGGAGTTGAAGCTGTTTTTATGTCTGCTGCTAACAAGTTGAATGTTTCCGTAGCGTTTTGCAGATGGCAGGGGAACGAGAAGTCCGTGCCTTAGCTGGTGTTTTACTCAGGAGGCCGTGAGCGGTCCTCTCACACCCCAAGCGCTAAATGTCCTTTAGGGGTGGGAGTGAGGAGCCAGTCATGAACTGGACTGGTTTCATCAGCCGCTGCAAGGCCTTACAGTCAGAGGCTGTGCTGCTCTCATACCAGCTACTGTGCATGTGTAGAAGTCAATGAAGTCAAAGCCTCCTTTAGCAGAGAAGAGGTATTTTTGGTCCATATGAGGTCCTCAATGATGCGAACCCACATGTCCTGATTTTGCCGAGTTCGACATGTCCCTGGGTCATCAAGGGTGGGATTTGCGTTCCACTTCTTTAACCAATCACAGTCTTCATTGTATGATTTTACCACATTAATTAAAACCAGTAAAGTACCCGTGACTGTGATTGGTTAAAGAAGTGAAGCACAAGCCCCTCCCTTGACCCAGGGACATGTCGAACTCTGCAAAATCAGGCTGTTCTGTGAACCTCAAGGGAGCTGTTGATCGCCCTCACTACCCTCCTGTCAATGTCCAGAGGGGGGTGGCTGGCTTGTAGCTTTCTGAAGCCACAGTTTGCAGTCAGGCAGCTGTCTTTGTCTTACTGACACTGAGGGACAGATTGTCGTCCTCCTCTCTGCATGCAGACTCATCACTGTGATTGGCTCCAAAGCAGTGGCGTGAGCAGCACGCAACTCTTAAAGTATTAAAGTCACTGCTGCAATGGTGCAAAACTCTCTGCAACATATTGCATTGTTCTTTGGACCTGGGAAAATGCGGCAAACAGATGGAGATTGGAGCCTGGACACTGACGAGGTCCACAAAGACGTCTGCCAGTTGGTCAGTGCATGTGTTGAGCATGCGGCTGGGGGCTGTATCTGCTCCAGCAGCTTTGCTGGGGGTGTTCCAGGGTTTTCCTTACAGCAGTTTGGTCTTTTAGGGCATCCAGCTGACCCTGCAAACTTGTTTCACTACTTTCTGACTCCATTAGCAGGGACAGTGGCTGGAAGATGTGAAAATGCTGTAGATTTCTGATGGAGGGTATATACCAGCCCTGGTATGTTGGTGGGCCACCCATTCAACCTGTCCTTCTGCTTTAGTTCTCCTGCAGCACTGGAAACTTGGACTGAAAAAAGCTGTCATTCTTTTTCCTGAAAGGTTGGAAATTGTCACCTGTGGTGGGTCAGAAGTGGATGAGAAGATTGGAGTGAAGCATCCTTCAGAGGTAAAATTAGACTGAGAGGTAGGGGGCACTGTGAAGCCAAGACGCCCAGCTATGATGGGTGTGGCAGGTGAAAGTGCTTTGGGGTCTGGCTTTGCTCAGCAGGTCACCTGGTCACCCAGCAGCACAGTGTTCTTGTTTCTTGGTGGCAGGTTTCCGCAGAGACACGGAGTGACACGGGAAGACTAATTATCCAGCGTTCTTTTTACGCTGCATCAGCACCAGGGAATGAGGTAAATGCCCGCAGCAATGCTGATTGGCTACCTCATTTCCCAGACTGCATTTAGACTGACAACAAACATACACTTTAGAGAGTCTTAGTCACCATTAATTATGTCTCATCGATGCGACGATAGCGGAACATGGCGAAAGAAGTCAAGGCAAATTAAAAGCAAAGCTCTTTGAGGAGGACGACGTGGAGCGGGAGAAGGATGAAGCTTCCGTTTGCTTTCAGCAACTCTCACGGCTGCCCCCTCTTGCATTGAACCTCCAGGTTCCTTTTGTGGAAAACCCTACATTCTACTCATCTGACGCTTCATTATTTTGTGGTTCTAATAGTAAAGTCATCTCAGCACTTCGTTGTGTAGCATATCAGGCAGGTGCTCCGGAAAAGGTCATTAATGGATTTTGTTTTCTGACCCGTTTGTTACTTTAAATATTTGTGTCCTAGGATGATTTCTTTCCGTAATACTGGCTCTCTGAGGTCAAATATCTGACTGTTTTCTAAGCTGGTGATGGGAAATCAATACGTTGTTGTAATATTTTCAAACCTCAACCACCCCCCGTGACATCTGTCTCCTTCAGTGATCCTAGTTGGCTGTCGATGAGAGAAGTGCTCTCCAGGATGCTGGTGAGAGAGAGTGACGGGGCGAGCTAGGGCCAGCTAACCATGTGACTCCAGCCAGCCAACCATCTTCCAGTGTGGCCAGACGGGTGACCCGCGACTGGAGAGAACCCGCCGGGCCCGTGCGGTGATGTGCTGTGGTTTTACCAGACGGAGGCTAAGTAAAAAAAGCAATTAGCAAGAAACACATGAATGCATCAATAGACAGACGGAGGTGCGCGTGCACGCCCACGCGTTCACAAGTACTTTGGCGAGCTCCTTGTGAAGAAGGCTGTCTGCGGCTTCACGTGGCGGTATGGCCGTCTCTTAGCGGCCCGGCGTGAGCGACGGCCTTGAGCGCGGGCTTCAGCCCCATGGCAACGGGTCTGAGCGAGGCAGGCAGCTGGGGTATTCATCGCATGTGCTAATCATGCCCGTTAATTTATTCCTTGCTGGAGACAACGAAATGCCACGTTCCGCTTGTTTCCGTGGTGCCCCGTCCTCGGCACAGCAGCTGCACGAGTGGCTCCTGCGCTTTAAATTGCCATTTAGAAGAGGATGTTTACAGGCTGGCAGCATCAACTGCTGCAATTTCAAGCACATTAAAAAACACATCACCTCGGGGCAGACAAACACCCTACACGAGCTTGGCAGACATCGGATGGGCAAATGGGTTTCCTTCTGCTTCTCATTTTGGTCCACAGTATGTAACTTCAGATGTATCCAGTGAAACCAGTGAAAAGCAAGATCTGTAGATCATCAACCAGCTACCTCTCATTTGCTTTTTTTCTCCATCACTCTGACTTTTCAGCCTCTCCTGTGCTGAATGTCCAGCCGTGTTCTGGCTAGTAATGAGGACACCTACGCAGTCCATCAGGGTGCTAGTTTGCCACTGTGGACTGGATTTGGCCAGCTGGAGAATGTTATTACGGTGACCTCAAACCTTTGATTTGGAAGTTGGGCAGAAAATATTGACCTGAAGTCAGTCAGGAGCTGGTTATGACTCTGAAACGGTCATGATGTAATCACTGATTCTTTAATTGCTTGTGTATCAGAACCATCATACCTCTGTGAGTGGTTTAAATGGTTGTAATTGTGCTGTATCCTAGTTCAGCCCCTAGAGGGAGCTCTTAACCACGATAGTCAAAGGGGAAAGCAGATTGGGGCTTCAATGAATGCTGTGCCGGTTCAAAGGATGTTCCTAAGGAAAATGGAAATGTTAAGTCAGTAACTGATGTCCTGTGAGGTCCTGCAACGCAGGAAATACACTTATGCCGGAGGTAATGGATACTATGGGAATTTTCACGTCTATGAGATGCTATAATATGGACACAGACGTAATAAACCCAGGAGAAGGATTTGAATCTGCACTGTGTCCCCCTACCCCCTTCGGAAGCTGCTGTCCTGTTACCCGCCAGTGGGGCGGCGCCAGCAGCAATTCAAAAGCCCGCCGCCCGCCACAGCGACAGCGTCCCGGAGCTCTAAAGGACCACGAATCCGCCAACTCTGCCTCCCCTCGGTGCGTCATACTGTACGCAGCCCGGAGGTCGAGCGCCACGGAGCCCGTTCTGAAGTGCAGTACATGTCCAAAGCTCGGAGGTTAAATCCCACGCAGAGGGTCTCAGCGCTTTCATTTATCTCATTTGCATACTAAAACGTCTCCTCTCGCCCAAGCGGCTAACGATCCTCCTCCATACTTTCCCCATCTTAATGTTTATAGCCCCGCAGCTCTCAGCGGTGCCCTGTTTGCTGCCAAGCCGCAGCCCTGACCGTTGATGTGTTCCTGGGCATCCGCTTCTGTCAATAAACCACTCGCCGAATAAACTGCTCACATGTTCTGAACGAAACTGCAAAGCAGGTAGGCCGATACCACAGGAAAAAAACAATCTTATTTAAAGCATCATTACTGTCGCGATCTGAGGAGCTGCGAGTGTCAAGCTTCAAGGAGAATCTAGAAACATAAAATATGGGAATATGAATGCAGCTGCTCTAAAGAACTGCAATAATCAGATAAGAGTATCTTCAGTATTTTCAGATTTGGGGATTTTTAATTGTATCCATAATTTCCGTCCAAATTTTGATTTCCTGAAATGGAAAAATCCTGGACTGTGAGCTTGACTGCACATCTCACGGCTGCATGACTGCATGATCTGTGCAGATATCTGTGACCGGTCTCCTGGTACGCTGTTAAACCCTGATGAGTGTTAGCACAGCTGCACAGTGTGTGACACAGGCCTGAGTTATACAGCGAATGCTGCTCCCACACAATTATTGTTTCTGTTCTTTTCTCTGACTAAAGCTGGTACCTGTCAGCTTTCCATTCAAATTATCCCTTTATTTCCAGATGGAAATAAAAAAAATAAAATGCTATCTGATTTTTCCCCCCTTCCTGTTTCTTTTTCATCCAACAGTTTTACCAGAACATGATTGCAGCATCTCTGCATGGCTGCCACCTTCTTCATGACTTAAGATCCTTTAAAAGTTGAGGATGACCGTAATGAACCAATCCAGTCACCCGCGCTGCCCTCTAGTGGCCGCCATGATGGACGTGATGGTGGCTAATCTGGATGGAGCACAGAAGATCCACCTCCTGTAGCTGAGCGCCTCTGGGGGGCTCGCAAGGATCTCGCTAGAGTGGGGATGAAAGCGTCTCACTGATGCCGCGAATGTTATTCCTGGAATGAAAACGCTCCTCTTAGGAGGAGCCCTGAATGCTGCCATTGGGAGCCCAACCCCGCGTTCCCGGCCGAGGACACCTCGCTCCGCCTCCCCCCGCACCTCGCTCCGCCTCCCCCCGCACCTCAGCTCCCAGCCCCCATGGCTGAGTCCTCCAGCTCTATTAGGAGTTAAATTGGGGTGGATGTGTATTTAAGGTGAACCCCACTTGCGGTGATATTTCCTCCCCCCTCCTCTCCCCCGCTGGTGCCCCCAGCCGCTCCGCAGTGAGCTCCGGGTGTAATTACTGCATCGTTAGCGCGCAGCCTGCTGCCTCGCTAAGGTTAGATGCGAATAGCTGATGCTGAAGCAGTGACACGCGTGGTGAAGCCCACACCAAGGCCATTGGGCTTTCAGCTACATCCTATATGTTCACTGGGCTGGTGAGAGGCTCCACGGACTAAGTCTCTGTGCCTGTGATTGGAAAGTTGCCGATTCAAGCCTCAGCCTTGGCAGACCTATCCCAGGGTCCCCCCCCCCTCCCCCCCACAGTGGAGAGCAAAATGGGATAGGCAAAAGAGAAGAACTCCAACGTACCTGTACTCATACTTGGATAAATGCAAAGGGTTTGGGAGGTTTTGTTTATCATGTGAGGAAGGCCACGAGGGGGCGCTCCACTGAAACAGCCTGATCTGAAAACCCTTTCATTCAGCTTAGAGATCACCCATAGCTGACTCTTGCCAGCAGCAACCTTCGCCCAGGGAGTGCATTCTGCCCAGCCTATAGGTGAGAACAGCAATTCATTTTAGCTCTTTTATTGCTTTTCATTTTATTTTATCGCCAAAAGTGCAGTACTTGATTTGTCCATTGATTTATGTAATATAATGATACATTGTGCATGACGCACTTCTACTCAGCCTTGTTCAGGATTGGAGATGAGCAGTAGGACTGACCATGGTGCCACCTTAGCCTCTCCCCCAGTGACAGGGCCACCGCAGTGACCATGGTGCCACCTTAGCCTCTCCCCCAGTGACAGGGTTACTGGCAGCATGTGGACCGGCCTTCCTGCACAACCACCCTGCACTTTCCTGGATGGAGTGATATCTACAGCTAATGGGCAGGAGCAAAAGGTACAGCCCCGTGGAGAGCAATGTGGGACATGTCACCAATGGAGGGTGTGGCAAGGTCTAACCGGTGCCACTTAAGGTGCCCTTGCGAACATTCCCTTCCCCGACTGACACGTAGCCCTGATTACCTGAGTGCCGTTGAACTCCGTGGCCCCCACTTCTACCCCGTCCCCTCCAGTCCCAAATTGACCTGTCTTCCGTCATCAGCAGAGATGAAGATGACTTGTGCTGAGGGCGCCGTTCCCTCTTTGGCTGTAATTGAAACAGCACAGGGACACTAAATCGTTATCAGCCTTCTTGCTCTCTCTGCGTTCCGGCCCAATGTGCATTTTTTGCGAAGGAGTCATTCTCAACCCTGTATGCAGAACACACCTGATAATTCGAACCCGTATGCAGAACACACTGGATAATTCGAACTGTGAGTCCACCAAGCCCCTGGAAGATAAGACCGGGGCCGCAGGGACGATGACGGAGGCGTCCTGGACAGATCTCTCCAGGCTTTGGTGGAGGGAAAGCGTCATATGTTTGTGTTAGGTGAAATCGCCCTCGGCAAGGGGCCAGAACGGCAAGGTGATGCCCAGAGACTCACAGCCTCAAGCTTTTGCTCGAATGTGGCTGGAAAACTGCCCCCCTCCCCAGCTTCTGGGAATGCAGTTTGACTATTAACTTGAAACAGACGGAACAAAGCTGTTATGATAAAATGCAGTGACTCTCAGCCCTGTCTATTGGGTCTGAATCATAAAGTGACTCGGCCTTTTTGTATGTTACGTAGACCACAGCAAGAAGCAGAAGAAAAGACGCTCTCTGCCACATATCTTACACCGAAAAGACGCACTGGCCAGTTATTCAAGTCATTTTACTCGCTAATAATGTTCTTCAGCAGGGCCAAGGTAGGATTGTGTGTCCTCTCAAAGTTCCGAAAGCATGCAGGGCTGCAGTAAATATCTCTCCTTTTTTCCGGCTCCCCCTTTGGATGGCTTTGTTATGAGTTAACCCTCCTCCGTGCATGAACATAAAAACAGGTGCCAGCAATGTGTGTCAGAGACAAGAATGGAATGTCGCCGTCCTTGCTCTGTCGGGTGACAATGTCCAGAAACTCCTTGTCCTGCCATAATGAGGACAAATCCACAGATGCAGCTGATTGTCGGAGTTACTGCTTTATGGAAATGTTTTTCTTACACTCTTTCTGTCATTGGAATTGACACCCATTGTTAGCTTAATAGTTCGGCACTATTAAATTATGTAATATACAGCATCTTGACTTGTCTCATCTCTGGTCTGACTACACTTAGCGTCTTATTAACATGCTATTATGTGGTATTTTTAGTGAGTCGGCCCCTCGTGATGCAGCGGCTATGATAGTCAGCTTTTTATGCCATACGAATGGCTGTATTACAGTGTTTGCGAGAAGGACCTTTAACCAGGACAGATGGACACTGATGTTGGCAAAATTATCAAAATGTCCATTGGCTTCGCTTGTTTATCAAATTTTATTTTGTTTTTTCTTCCTTAAATTTTCTTTATTATTTATTAAGTTGTTATATATTTTTTGGCTTCTATAGGATGGCCCAAACGTCATCTCATTGTAGTCGTACGGTGACAACAAAGATATCTTATATTTTGTATGTCACAGGATTTTAAGGATGCTAATTGCATAGATGAGAACCACGATGGAAGGAGACCCTGCGACGTATCACTCCTTTCCCCCCCCCCCGTCAAGCATGAAGCGACCGAGCGCGGGCCTTTCCTGTAAAAGTGCCACTGCTGCAGTGAGATCTAAAATTAATCCTGGATCTGATGAAGGTGAGCAGCAGGGAGCAAAGCAGAGGGAAGGAGGAAAGGAAGCTGGCTGCCTCTGACCTGCCTCAGAAGGCGAGGCTCATGAATGCTTATATCTGAGTCTCTCTGCCCTGCACTTCTCTCCCCACATAGATGTGCATGTGTTTCTAAGGCTTGGCATTTTAAGCCTGGAATGAGTTGTTCAATTTGCATACTGGCTGCAAGATCACAAAATCATGCAGAAGAAACTCGTGAGGCAAAATTCAAAGGTGTTCCCTGTCAGCTCTTTGGGTCTGCCGCTCAACGAGGTCGCATTTTCACTAAGAAACGGGGCTTTCATTTTAATGGGCTGATTTGAGCACAGAAAAACAGTTTTCAGCACCGTGCAAATGGGACACCATTAAAAGTCTAAACAAAAGTTGATTTGTGCCCTTTGGGAAATGCTCTGCACAGCCTGTACCGGAGCAGAAGTGCTTGTTGGTGGATCTTGCCAACACAACTATGGATCCCTAATGCACAGGTAACGTGCGTCTTCTGTCTAATGTAGTGCAGGGGTTTCACTGCAGGATCTAAGTCAACTGTGGATTTAAGTCACACAAGTCCTGCTGATCTGAGACAACCGTGTTAAACTATTAAAGTATTAAACTATTCAAGTAATACAGGAATTTAGACCATCTGCCAAACCTCCACAATTACCAATTATAAACAGTTAAGGCTCCCCATGATTTGCATACATTTTCATAAAATGGCTGATTACTTTTATTTGTCTGTATTGACACTGGCAAAAGCCCTCGGGGCAACTGGACATGAACTTTTTTTCGATTTGTTTTTTTGACTTTTAGTTAGTTTTCAGTTTGAGTTGTTTTTTTAGGTAGTTTTAGTTAGTTTTTAGTTGCTTTTGTACTTTGCTTTCAATGCTGGCACATCGGCAACTCACATCCGTGGCTGACTCAGATCCTGTGGTGACACAGGGGACTGGTGCTGTGATCCTCAACTTCTCTGCAGTTGGACAATAATAAGCACCCCTGGAGTGATGTGCTGCAACAGCAGGCTGTCCAGAGGCAGACTCTGAGGAGGAGACAATGTGAGGGAGAAGGGCGGTCTTTCAAGGAGCAGAGAGATGTGGCCGGTGGGAGAAAAATGGTAGGGTCTGAGTTTTAGTCCCGTAAGTGTGTGAGCGTATACTTGCACAAGACATGGCATGGAACCAGCTTTGGTAGCCGGTGTGATTAGTGCTGTGGCATTTTTACCCTTTGCGTTCCTGGCGAATGGAAATTTTCAGGTGGCCACCAAGCACGACCATGTGACCCCCAGCCAATAAGGAAGCCGTCTCCTTGTCCTCTCCCGCCCGCTCCCACGCTTGCCCTTCGGGCGTCATCTTAATCAACAGCGTGCCCCCTCGGTGGGTGCTGTGCGCTTTCATTCACATGCCTCCGGGTGTTTGGACGGACTCCACCCCACTGAGTGAGCTGATTGCATCCGCCCTGCTTCCAGTCAAAGCTCACAGAGGCAGGTGGAACGTGAAATGAGTCTGACCGTGATCACCGTTCTCACCCACATTCACTGTTTACTGGTACATAGTGCGCCCATGGCTTTGTTCATCCTTATTTTGGTTACACTCACAAACAGTTAACCGTTTAGCTGAAACGACAGTGAGCCTCTGGACCCTCGGAGTACCTAACAAGAGTTTATATGTTTATGAGTATTAAGGTTTAGATCAATTAGCCTTTAGTTTTGCCTTTCTATATATTTCTTAATTAAGAAGAGGAATTCTCTGGGCTTTGGGGAGGCCCAGCACAATAAAGATTATTTCTGTCTCTGTATGCAGGCCAGTATGTCCTAGACTCAGACCCAGTGCTTAGCATATGGGACACAAGATGCCAAGTAGCACATTTTAAAATGTGCGCCCCACCCCGCAAGAAAAAAAGGAACTAGAAAATTCGTGACATTCTGACACATTTGCGCTGATGGGCTATAGATGTCCGGGTATTTTCTTAGTCTGAGTCGCAAACTGACGTTAATGCCTCTTTAAGCCTATGTCTCACTGTACCGTTTGATTAAGCTAATAGAGGATGGCTGACAGACCGCTTTTTTCTGTGCCATATATTGCTACTTCAGTAATAAACTCCATTAATTTGTAATCACTGTTTCACCCTAATAGTATTCTGCAATCAAATCAAAGGTCAGCCGGTCTATTCTCCTTTCCTGGGTGTCCTATCTTTTTAAACCACAAATTAAGAACGAGGTTGGGAAATTCGCGTGTTTTTAAAGACTTTTCTAAAACCTCGGACGTTGCAGTTGCAAGATCACCGAGTCGTTTTTAACACTAAAATTTACAGAGATGTGGCTTTAAAATATAACGAAGGTTTTGCGATGTTCCCGTAATCGTGTCACAGTGATTAACATGAAAATCGGGATCGTTATGTTACATAGAATTTGAAATCGACTATAAAACAGAAATCCACTGCGCTCGCATTTGCGAATACGACACATTACTGTAAAAGAATACCGAAACCGGTCTTAGCAAATCGGACACTACTAAGTTTAGCCGAGTACATCTGTCCATATGTCTGTAATTCTGACAAAACAGTATCTGCTTGTCTGTGTGAAAAAAAATAACCGACGAGTGAACGAAGTCCGTACATCGTTATCTGATGCTTTCGCATTGCATATAAATGCGTGCATATCATATGCCTTAGTGCAATGTCTCAGACATGACTCAGACGTGTCAGTCCGATCATGCTTGCCGATGTACGAGGAAAAACGTATAATTAGTTGGGTGACTAACCCATCGCAAAGGCAAAGGTTTGCAGCAGGCGCGCGGGAGTCAGGCTCACTCGGACGAGCTCTGCTCCTCACGTGCGAGAAAAGGACGCGCACCACACAATATATATATAGGCTAATTATTATAACTAAGCTGCCGCCTTGATTAATTTGTTTAGGCTGTGCATTTGTTCTTCTCTCCCCTGCCCTTTTATTAAGTGAGTGCTTTCTCGTTAAAATGGGTTTTTCACCTTAATGTTCAAATGACTGAGTATTCTGGCATGATTGGGTCGTCTGAAAAATACACTTTATGCGATAAGGCTTAGTGTAACAACTAGTTTTTTATAAAAATGTATAAAATATATGGATAACATCCTCAGTAGTTTACTTAGGTGAAAACATTATAGCACTTTGATTAGTCAGCAAAATGCACGCTATGTTATAGTGGTCCCGATAAATGAAGGCAGCTTAACTTCCCCTGCAGTTGGTCTGAAGGTTTAATTACGTCATTCTCGGTGGAGACAAAGCCGCCTGCCTCCATCCAGAAGCGGAGTCGGCTCAGACCCCGGACAGCGCTCCGTTTTCCGTGTGGATGTTAAAGGCTAGAGGAGGAAAACATCCGAAAATAACAGTCCGGGAGACAAACTGGATATAAAATATGTGTTTAAACTCTGCCATGTTCTGCGATTTACCAGCTATGTTCAGTTTTGGACTAGTGGGCTCGTTAACTTTGCTTCGGTGGTTTGTTAGTTTGCCACAGACAGGAGTTTATTAATAATAACATGGATGACTGCGAATTGGACCGTACTCGAGGTATGTTACTCGATGTGAACATAATGTTTTGCAAAACGCAAAGCATGATTACTCGGTTTTCTTAATAATAAAACATTTTGTACAAGTGCTTATTCGTGCAAAAACTCGCGCAGGTATTCATCTACTGAATTCTCTTACGACTGCCAAGAGCTTTAGTTTTTCAGTTCTCTGAATGCTTTCTTCGCTTTCTGCTTCATTCTTTTATACATATTTAAATCTTTTTAAATTACTGTTCTATAGGCCTACATATTTATTGAATTTGAAAACCGGCTGAAAAACTATTAATCTCTTGTCACACATTTAGGAACAGGAAAGTAAGATGCTGTTTTTGTGGTTGGCCCTAATTGTAAAAATGAGACTATATTATTATAATAATGCGTGTATGAAGCAAATGTGCAGCTAGCAATTTTCCACTAATATTTCCTGCAGGGTAACAGCTGTCTGATAGAATAAGTCGTCTGAGAGATCAGATTAGCTATGGACCCCATGCCGGAGTATTCCCATTTCCTGGGAAGGATCCTGGAGGAGCTGGATGCTAAGCACAATGCCATGTCCTACCAGGACCTCTGCAAGTCGCTTTGTGCCAGGTTCGACCTGGTCCACCTAGTGAAGCTGCGGAGTCTCCTCTTTTACACTGCCTGCATGGACCCCTGCTTTCCTGCCACCTTGTTCCGGGACAAGATGCGGAACACCTCCGAAGACCAGCAGTCCAGGAAGCTGATGGCGGCAGCGGACATCGTCACCATGTTCAACTTGATCCAGATGAACAGTGGTACTGCAAAAGACAGACTGCCCATAGCCCAACGGCCCAAGTTTCAAAAGAACCAGTCGTTTGAGTCATGTCGGTCAGATTCTGACATGTACAAGCAGTCTGACTATAGCAGGGCCTATGACGTGTCATACAAGCCGACTTCGCGGGTTTCGCCGTGTTCGAAATCGGATTTTGGTGAGTGCCAGCCGTTCGTGCCGTCCTCCAACCCTGGCCGTCTCCTGGGGGTCAGCAGGGATTTTAAATGCAGAGCAGCCTCACTGGAGAAGCTTCAGCATCTCCCACAGTACCCACACAGCAGCTCGCCGTCCTGCGATATGCAGAGCACCTACTTTCCGATGGAGATAGACAGCGAATCCACCACCGATCAGGAGTCTTTGCAGCTAAAGCCCGGCTTAAAAAACAGGTTTCCCTCGACAGCCGGACCGTTCTCTGTGCACTCCTGTGTGGAGAAGAGAAATATTTTTAAGGAGGACTTCCACAATTTTGTGGCCTTCTCTCCCCATGTGATCACCGTGGAATCCAAGTCCAGAGATGACTTGAGTGGGATGTTCCAGCGTAAGGACTCTCAGAAACATGCCTTCTTCAACCACAGCTTTGAGCTGCCTTATAGTAACCCTTATTTTGATTCAGTAAGTCCCCCTTTCCAAGAAAAAAAACGGTCGAAGCACGAAAGTCTAGATGACCTGCAGGCTTCCACCTATTTTGGGCCAACGACCATCACAGAGACTGTAAGCAGCAGGAGGACATTGGGGAGACACAGCAGGCCATCCCCCTGGCCTGTGAAGAGTCTGAGCCTGAATACGGATGAGGGACCAGATTTTGAAGACACTTTTCTAAATTCCAAGCGGTCTAAAGAATGCCATCTCCATGACATGGGCAGTGTGGAGAGTGAGCAGAACTACCAAGAGGTCAAAGAGGATTTGGAAGGTTCCCCATCAGGATATAGTGTTAAGTCTAATGAATTGAAGTCACAGGACATGGGACCTGTGGATAATGGAATGATTGTAGATCACAGAGAAGGTGTGAAGAGATTTAAAGACAAAAGCATCAACTGTCCCTCCATCCAGGTAGGTGGCATAGACATTCCCCTGAGTGTGAGCACACAGACTGATCAGTCTGAACAGAGGAAGGTTAAAGACCTCCCTGCTTTCAGCAAATATGGGGAAAGACATTCATATAAGCTCTCTGAAGAGGACTCTGAGATAGTCAGTGATGACATCAGTGACATCTTCCGCTTTCTGGATGACATGAGCATGTCTGACTCTCTGGGAATCCTTCAGGCATCGCGGTACAATAGCATCGGATCCCTCACACGTGCCCCGAAGTCAGATGAAGACAGTTCTCCAGAGACTAATGCTGCAAAGCTCAGTAAAGCAGGTCTCAAACTTGACCGTCTCTTCCAGTCACTGGAGAACACAGACGGAGAGTTGAAGGCCAGCGTCTGTAAGCTGGTGCTCCGGATCGGAGAGATTGAGAAGAAGCTGGAGTCCCTGTCCGGGGTACGTGGGGAGATCTCTCAGGTTCTATCCAAACTGAACAAGCTGGATGAAAAGATACAGGAGCCAGAGGTCGGTGCCAGGCCAAGTGAGTCAAACACAGCCAATGAGACTCACCCAGAGAGCAGCTCTTCTCCTGGCATTCCTCGGTGCCAGCCCCCTGGAAACACCAGTGGAATTGGTGGTCCAGATTGGTGCTGCTCGGACGCCAGTGCTAGCAATACTGACAGTCTGCGAGTCAAAGCCCTAAAAAAGACTGTTTGCACCAGGAGGTCATCGAGATCCTTGGCTGAAGAAAATGGAGTCACCGAGACGAAGATCTGTAGCATGTCCAACTCCCCTAGGAATTGGCGGTCCTCTTGTGCCAGTCACGTTGGAGAAGATGGAAAGGAGAAGGATCGTGGTAGCAAGGACCGCCACCGGAAATCCAAAGAGGTAACTGACCGGGTTCAATTTGCTAAAATAATCTGTTGTTATGTTAGTAGGGACACAGAGTAAGTGTAAGTTGTGCAGTATAGCTCCTTTACATCGGTGGTTCTCAACCCTTTTTGCACCGCAACCCAATTTTTACCATGCTGGCTTAGATGCGACTATATCAAATATAGGTTTAAATGAACACTATTATCAAGCACACAGTGCACTCTGCAGTTTATGCCAATCAATGCCTATCGCACAAATCTGATTGAATGTGCCAGTGAATTTTAAATTAAGCATCTGTGGTTTGGCTCCTTGGATTGGTTAAATGTTCACTAGTTTTGCGCTAAGCATTTGCAGACCCAAGACCTGTTTATATGGGTTAATTCTAGGGTTGGGGCTGGGGAATCTGATCGTGGATCAGCATAGGAGCTTGCTGGTTTTAAAATGCTTACATTTCCAACTCTGCCTCGCAACCCTTTCAGAACTTGCTGACCATGGGTTGAGAACCGCTGCATTAAAGTATTGTTAAGAGTTTGACCTTCATTTATTAGTTTACGTCTGCTTCTATGTAACCATGATCAGGTGTAAACTATGATTAGGTGTGAACTTCATGTGAGGAGAACCCCTGTTTTCGCACAGTAAGTCCAAATGGGCAGGTAAGAGCCAAAGCTATTTTTGGGTTTGCGCTGTTTGGTACCACACCCAGAACGTGAAGAGCCACGATCCAGCTGGGATGATTCATCATGTTCCCTGCTCCTCCTCTACGCACGGATAAATCCACTTCCACAGCTGTGCAGGGAAGCGACTGGCACGGCAACAGGATTTCACACTATTTCTGGAATTACAGATGTCAGTGGCAGAAAGCTTTCCAAGCCACATGCTCCAGCTTACTGAGCAACGAGGCATTTTTTCAGAAGGGCACACAGAGATTAATATCCTTGAATTAGATGTACAAATAAGGGGAGGGAATGTGGGTGAATGAACTTCGCTGGAAAGCAGAAGTTATGTAAGACTGATTAATTACATGTCAAGTTTGTCACAAAATGAAATTGTTGGCTTTTGCAAAAGGTACAGAAAGGATGTAAAAGTGGAAAGTCTGTCTGGTGCTGCTAATTTTGCCCTTTAGGTTGCCATCTCCTGGGTTACTGACACATTTCCCTGACATTAAACGTGTTGAAATGTCATTTACCCTCAGCAGGGGTTACCCTGATGAGTCCTCTCCATTGACCTCTCCCTGAGCTGCCAGATGGAGCTGGTATAGGCTAAGCTTCTGCAGGACGACCTTTAGCTCCATAGGTGTCTCCATGGACGCCCGAGGCCACAGTAATTCATTTAATTCATTATTTATTTGCTCAGCAAACACTTTTATCCAAAGAAGCTAGTGTAGTTAACCTTTCCACGTTGTTAAATATTTTGCAGTCGATTGAACCGAAAAGGTGAAGTTTTCACTGAGTCTGTGATTGGCTCGTGTTGAGAGGAATCAGAGAGGGAACTCTTTGGGAACGAGGCATGGGGTCAGGACTCCTGGTCCCATGGGAGATCTGCTGTGGGTCCTCCATGAAAGCAGCTGAGGAGCACACAGTTCCTTTAAATGCAGAGGTGGATATTTCCGGTCCAGAAAGTTAAAACTGCAGACCAAAATTTTGTTTCAACCAACCAGTTGAGTACTCTGTAACTGTGACTCTTTATGTGCAACTGGTTGGTCGAAACAAAATGTTGGTCTGGATTCTTACTCTACGGACCTGAAATGTCCACCATTGTTGAAATGTTTAATGGATAGGAATGACACCTTATAACAGAAATTGGACAATAGCAGAAGATCATCTCCTGCAATTATGAGCCTGAGTCTTCTTATTTGCAAATTTGCAGGATCAGGGGAGTAAATTATGGGGGTGGTGGAGGGGGATGTACCCATCCCTCAATAATAAAAACCAGCCAATACAACCCCTGGACCCCCTTAAATGGGTGGAGACCTCAGCCCTCCCAATGCTCAACCCAAAGTTATGCGCTTATGCAGGATACATTGCTATTCATGCAAGAATAAACAGCAATCTGTGAAGGGAAGAAGTTGGGGTGGAGAGGATAGAAGACTGACATGTCTCAGGGTTATAATAAAAGTCCCATCTCTTATAGCAAATGTATTATTATGGTAGACTTGTGGTATAGAGGACATGTCACAGAACACCTATTAAACCCCCAGCACCTCTGCATGACCTACGTTAGCTTCTAGTGTGCTGGGGTGGTGTGTGGCTCTGTGGGCTTGAACACCGTGCCTGTGATCAGAAGGTTACCAGTTCCAATCCTGCAGCTGGCTGAGTGGTTTTACCATTGGGCCCTTGAGAGTGGCTCTTGAGCCCAGCTACTCCCGCGACTGTTTGACCCTGCTTTCTCAACTCTGTGTCCCTTTGATTTAAGCATCTGCTAAGTAAACGAACATGTGCTGCTCCATGTCCGTGGCAATGAACTCCTTGTGGCTTTCTGAAGCCCGATGCCCTTGGACTCACCTCAGCATGGTCCACTTGACACCTGCCTCCCAGAGAACGAGAGACAGTCTCTTGTTCTAACATTGGTTTTCTAGGGCCCCTTGATAGCGTTGATGTTGACAGTGTATATTTAAGCAAAGCATTTTTCCCAGGTGCCTGTTTCAGGAAGTAGGATTTGTTTTGCGGAGTCGGAAAACTTGACAGATTTAATGTAATCTGGGGGTGTTCCACAAAGCAGTATTTCTCAGTTAGCTGGGTTAACTTAAGATAGAAATCATGATTGTCCAATAAGAGTTTAGGTAAAGAGAATTCCTATTGAACAGTTATGACTTCTAGCTAAATAAATAACTAAATAAATTCCCAGCTAACTGAGAAATCCGGCTTGGTGAAACACCCCCCTGGGCTAAATGTAAGCGAACAAAGGTAAAGTCCATTTCGCCCAGACTACCTCAAATCCAACAAGTTGTCTGGCTAAGCAAGAAATTCTGCTTTGTGAAACAGACCTCTAGTCGCAACAAATCATAGTATAGCCTAGATGTTTATCAATAACTCTGGGCAAAGGCCCCCTGAGGTGTCTCAGTTACACAGAAAAGTGATTCAAAAGAAAACAGAGAATAATTTATCCATTTGACACACTCTGAATTGTTGTATGCTGGGATATATGTTTGTGTGTCAAACTGAGGGACATTTGGGAAACCAGGGCTGAAATTAAGTGCATTAGAAATGATCATGCAGCTGAGTGGATGTGCAAGACCGAAGAATGGGATGCGACTGCAGACGGAGTATGTTTTAATTTTTGTGTTTTGTGACTCAGAGAGGAATTACGAAGCCACTTTGTAACTACAGATTAATGACGTTTTCCTGGGGAGCGGGAAGAAATGGTTGTAGTATGTGGGATCTCATCTCAGGAATGTTGTTCATGAAAAATTATGTTTGATTAGACTTTATGGCACAATAAATGGAGAGCCAACTGTTGCTTGGCTATTTAGCATGTCCTTTGACCTCTGACCTTCGCCCATAGGCGGAGCGGCAGTGCGAAGCCCACCGGCCGTCCAAGCAGGTGAAGGAGCCATACCTGGTGGAGCAGGTGTTCACTCCTCACCGCTTCCCGCCAGCGGCCAAGTTTCCCATGAGGAGCAGCCCCGTTTATGCGGGCATGCGGCTAGTCGACCGGCCCGAGAGCAAGAGGACGCAGCCGCCTTCCTGGCCGCTGGAGGAGTTCAAGCAGAGCTCTGTGGAAAAGGCCAAGCTCAGCACGTTGGAACTGCAGGCAAGTGCGGCCCGGACCCCATCCTCCATCTGCCCCGGCTGCCGGTCGATCACGACAGTCTGCTGGGGTGTGTGATCTCCTAAAGCACCAAGCTGACTCTGTAGTGCAATTCAGTACATCTCAGTTACACACGTGATAAGGCACATGAGCGCTAACAGACCCTCTTCCACAGCCCAAGGTCATTTAATTTAATGATCAAGGTCAAGTAAAAAGAGAACTGTAGTTTTCATTGAAGAAAAAGACCTACTTTGTAGCCTTGGTAGAGTTTCCCTGAGCTGACTCTGTAGGTAACCTCACAGAAACGTGTCTGAGTACATAGAACTTCCCTGAAATTTCTTTGATTTTCTTTGCTGTGATAATGAAGTTCTGTGAGTGTCAGTGAAGTGACCCAGAACGTATCTGTAGCTCTATTTTCACAGCTGCTTGCCTCTGTTACTCTGTCCTACATGCTCTTGATTCACTAGATGTGCAGGTTTCTGACTTACATTATAACATTCCTACCCTTTTCCAAATGACACACACAGTTCGTCTCATGCTGATTAGTTCAGACTGTTCGTTTGCTCTCACAGCTGACATCCACAGCCTGGCTGTGCTGAATCGCAGTCTGCCAGGCTCAAGCTTGGAAGGGTAACGGTTAAATTTCCACCCTCCTTAAAGTCTTTCCCGATGCAATCGCAACGCCTTTGCTGCTGGCTCGGCACACACAGCCGGGGGTGCTAGACTGCAAATCGAATGTGACAAGATCAAGGGCTGGAAGATTATCGCACCAAGGCGTTCGGCTCTGGCATTATGATAACACGACTCCAAGCTTGGGCTCGAGGGGTCCCAGATGACTCTATAGCGCCAGTGATTTTTCGGCCTTGTTATGCACCTGAATGGACCTTTGTTTATATGAATGCTAGTGTTTGAGCTGTATTGTGAGAGACTCGCTGCTGACAAGAGATCATCAGCATCTGCCTGGGTATTAACTCTCATGATCACCATTGCGTTTATGGCTCAGTCCTGTTAGACCCCACGGAAACAGGCAAGAGAAAGCGTGCAGGTCACAGCAGAAAAGTAATTATATCATAGTACAGCACCAAACGCAGCCCAAACTGACAAGCTGTACTGCTCCATGCAGTTGGTGGCATGAAGGTGACTTTGGGGTCGCACTGTAAATTTTCAACAGCTTCAACAGCGTGAAGGTCATGAGCGACAGCCTACAGAACAGAAAAAAAACATAGATGGTTTTTCAAGCTAAACGACGATCGTGGTCCTTGTGTTTCATCCCCGGATTTGGTTTATTAACGGTTGCAGCTGGTTAAATTAACCGTTTTTAAGCCTGACTAGTGAGCACTGGAGCACTGCAGCACTGGAACGCCTCCCTGCCCCAGGCTATGCTGGCTATGCTGGCATAGTGCATTAATCTACACACATTTCCACTGGCATCCAGTTCAGATTGCTTCATTGGAATACATTACATCTCGGCATATTGCTAATGGTTTCAAAGTTGATGGTTCAATAACTGCAAACATCATTTGGCTGCAGCTACCAAGGAAAGAATCCAGCAGAAAAAAATGAATGTTTCCATTATAAAAATAGCCCCCCCCCCCCTCTATATCACCCTCCCTTGTCACATTTTTAGAAAAAAAAAACTGACAGATGTGTTGGCAGGTCAAATGTTTTTCTTAGACTGTCAGAATGACAGCCTTTTTCAGGACAGCGGTTTTGCAGGCAGTGGACCTGTATGGCTTCAACAGTAGAGGGCGCTGTCTCCAAGATATGTCTCACCTAGCCACGTCTACCCTCTTTCCTGTCTCTTGCAGACACAGGAGTCCTTGAATCCCAACCACCTGGAGTACTGGATGGAGGACATTTACTCACCGGGCTACGATTCGCTGCTGAAGCGCAAGGAGGCAGAGTTCCGGAGAGCCAAGGCCTGCAAGATAGGCGTGCTGATTGCAGCGGCCGCCTGCACTGTGATCCTGGTCATCGTGGTGCCCATGTGCACCATGAAGTCATGAGTTGTTCCAAGAGCCAGCCAGCCACCCCCCCCATGTGTAATCCCTCATCATTCGCTGGCAATGCCCAGAGTAATGTGCATGTGTACTCATTGTGAGGCTAGGAAGGAGTGTAATTTATCAATGTGTTTATTTGTACTGATGCTCAGGAGCTTCCAAGGTGTTCGATAGCTGTACTGTTACCGCATTCCACGGCTCCTCAGAGGATACAGCACAAATTGTCATTCTGCTAAGGATTGTTGGGGTGTATCGTATTGTGTGAAAACTGTGCAAGGTTTGTTTTCTAAGCATTCTGTGATCTTTTTGAGATACTCCACTGATCATTTGTACTTATGTATTTTATTGAGAACCTTTTTTAACGGACTGAAGGAACGCGAGCAGGCGTGATTCGGCTTTCGCTTTTCTGTTGGGCTTGTCATGACGTCTTGATTAGGCTTGTGGTCTGTGTTTTCCTAATAGGCATGGCTAAGGTCATGGCAAACAGCACAAAGGCTAAAATCACATAGACGCCCTCACAGGCCTTGGCAATAGTGAATGTATGTAGTGTAGGAGCACTGTTCGGTGGCCAGTGGGTGACAGTGAGCTCCGCTCTGCTCCTTATTTTAGCTTCCTTGAAAATCCCCAACTGGTACAGGTTCATTACTCAGCCACATCGCATACTCTACGATAACAACACAAAAAGCACACCATACGTCCTTCTCATCGGGCAACGCTCTGACCAGAATGTCTGTGAGCTGAGGCAGAGCGCCCCCTATTGGATGAGGCTGGAGGCCACACTGGGCAAGCCGGACACATGGCTCCCTTATCCATGCGATCTCTGCCATTAGCTGGTGCGGCTCACAGCAGAGTGAATGCAGGTTTGCTTCGGCTGGCCTTATTGAGCGCTCGACCCCTGTCGGGTTAAGGGTAGCTCCAGCCAACCACAACGCGACGTGTCTCCACTGGCTCAGGAGTGCCTGCCCACGGGCCGCCGGATCTGTCCCAGACACACCGATGCTCATTTGCTGAGCCAATATGGCTGACCATGGACGCCGGTGTTTTTTCATAGCGATTCTCCAGCTGACTGACAGGAAATGGGCGGCTTAACACCAATCAGAGTAAAAACACAGGAACCAAATGGGTGGAAGAGGATTTAGCATGTCAATCTGTCAATAGAAACACAAACAATGTACAGACTACGAATCTGAGTCTATGTCACACATTGAAAGGTATAACTCAACCCAGTGCCCTTACTATGATGATTAATATACAATAATTATATGTGCGTTAAATATCTTAGGTGACATGCAGTTTGAAGATGCGAATCGTCAGCCTTTGGTGGACGCTTTGAGGGTTCGCTTGAAGTGATAGTAGGAGAACCTTTAAAGTTGTACTCCAAAAATTTGCAGGGACCTGACGGCTCCAGCACCTTTGCCACCAGTATGGGTCCTGGAGCTGTGACTTAACGTAGCATTCTCAGCTTGTTACCTAAACTGCTGTAAGTGGAACAGTACAATAAAAGTTCTGACTGTTGTTGCTGAGCGCGTTCTCTGCTACCTGGCCTCACAAACCTGCCAGCGCTCAGTTCTTCCTGATGAGTGGCACTTTCAGTACAGGTTCTGCTGGATTTTTAAGGACGCTCATTTGGATATCATTCCCCCAGGACCCTGTTTGCTGTTTTTGGATTTTCGGTACTTTCTGATAGTAATCAAATTATGTATTTCGTTTGTCAGCTTTTGGATGGTTTTTGCTGAGTCAAAATAAAAGTTTTAAAAGCATTATGAAAACCTGGACTTACAATCACAGATGGAAGCATGGATTTGACATCAGACAGTATTAGCCGATCCAGCGCTGACCTCTACTTCCTCTAGATTTCTGCTTCTGCTTAGAGACTTAAAGGGACGGTGTGCTGACAGTATCTGGGCTGTGATAGTGAAGAGTCACTTTTAACTGGTGCCGGATGCAGAAGTGGTTACGGCCAAGCAGTAGCTGCACCTCCCCTTTTACTGTACTAGAAAAGGAAAATGATCATGACATCACTTTATTTAAAATTCAGAAGGTCAGCTCAGATGATGCTGCTTTGCGTGAAAACAGAGTGCTGACTCAGGTCCTCTGAAAGCCCTGTCCAGGCAGTCAGGTCGGACCTGCTTCTGGAACATGCCCCCCACCCCCCACTACCCCTGTGGATCAACCCCCCCACTAAAGAGCAGGATCAGCCCCACCATGGAGGACAGGAAGCTGTAAGAGGTGAGCAACAATGACCTATTTTGTGACATTAGGTCTCTTACCCCAAAGCTCACTTACTCAGCTGTTGCTGATGGGATGGCAGACTGAACAGAGAACTGAAAGGGACAGACAGGATGACTTAGGTGATGACAATTTGTCCTTTTTATTAAACCACCTTTGCAAAATAGCTATTGGGATAAATCACACTAAACTTGCCCTTATGAAAAGGGGGTTGGTAATCTAATGTATTAGATGGCATACAGATCCTAGTGGACAGAAAATTATTGGACTAAGTCTGTTAAAAATACAAACCTTCAGGGTTCCTGTCATTAAGGGAAGATGTAGCAAATTCCACTGTCCAGAAGGCATCATATGAGGGGCCTCAGTAATGATCTCATCGTATCTTATGAATTGCATTACTCCTCTCCTTATGTCATTTATTCAAATAAGCAGGCGCAATCCTGTTTAATTTTGTTTACAGCTTGTGAGTGAAGATTACATTTCAGGTAATGAGATATCAGATTAAGTCTGTAACCGAAGGGTGAAATTTTATGGAACACAAACTCAGGAATTGTCCCGGTGGCAGGCAAGGAGTATAAATGTTCCCTGTTTTTAGCAGGGAACCGTAGGTGAAACACTTATGATCTTTTTCTCATTTACCCTCGTAGCTCAGAGGGACCCTGTTTCAACACAGGTCTTTTCTTAAAGGCAAAACCTGACAAAATGTAACAGCACCTAGGAATGTGCTGAGTCAGACCCACTGTAATTTGGTTCAAGGTCTGGAGTCATTTCATGTGTGTTTAATACTGGAAATTGAACTGAAGCTCTCCTGAGAGAAACTGGAACCTGATGTTCTTTAAAAAAACTGCATCTGAAGTTCTCCAGAAAGTGGAACCTGATGTTCTCCGAAGAGAAACTGGAACCTAAGCTGTTCATCTCTGGGAGAGTTTTGCTGTAGTGGAGATAAAACTGGCCCTGCTGACTCCCTGGTGCCCTGACATCCCGATGAAAGATGCATGAGGTCATGGAGTTCTGGCTGGTATTATGCCTGCTGCTCCACATCCGCCGGCTTTTCAGGTCAGTGCAGACCGGCATGACACTGGCTCAAATGTAGGGCTGAAATGCAGGATTGCTCTTTAGGTAAGCAGCGCCAGAGAGATTGGACCAGACCGGCACCAAAACGCTGGCTTAGGCTGTCCCTGGGCAGAAATAACAGATGTACCCCTGAAGATGAGAAATCGGCTTAAGCATTGCATCCAGGCGTTTCCTCCTGCTATGGCTGGTATTTGCATAACCTGCCTGTGAAGAACTTGGAACACAGTACCTTCGCCAGATCCTTAAACACTTGTGGCTGTGCCCAAAAGACCTGAGAACATACTGCAGAATGTGTTTCTGTCTATGTCCTGTGACTTAATCTGTGTTTTTAAACCCTGATCGATGGCTAAGGAGCAGACCGCTGCCACATACCCCGAGGTCAGTCCCTGTTCTTTATTCCTGTATGGACAGAAATAGGAGAGATTCACAGCACACTTATAAATCTGTGAAATCTCCTAGATTCTGAAGACATAAAAATGCAGTGCCATTAAATAATGATGATGATGATGTCAATTCCGCAATCAAATCATGATGGAAACGAAGGAACAATTGCCTGTCATTCAAAGAGAGATTAATAAGCATCTGGAAAAAGACAGAAATGGCAAAACTTCTCAGTCTGGAAGGTGGGCAAACCCATTACGCTCACCGGTCTGGTAAAAGTGAACTAAACACTAAGATGGTGGTTATGCTCTGGTTGTTCGCCTATTATGGGCCAAATTCAGCACCTTGACCTAAATAATTTCTCACAACAGACACTGCTCCTACATCTCGGTGAAAAGGACCTCTTCAAAATGCGGCTGTTGTAAACAAACCAGCTGAGGAAGGTAAACCTCAAGTTGGTCTGCATTTTCATGCCCTCTATCATTAACTTGCAAACTACACTTTTTTTCCTAAATCTAGTATTGATTTTTGTGTCTCTGGGAAATAATAAATTGTACTGTATTATTTAAATCATTTTAATTTTAACTGAAAATACTTTTGGAAGGAGTAATTGGCCAGCGCACCATGGCTGCAGGAGCCTTAATTAAAGTACACTAATCACTCAGCGGTGCCCCAGCCCAAGGAGAGCTCTGCTGTGCATTGGGGTGCTCTCATTTTCTCCCTGCTCCTTGCAGACTCTCTCGCTCTTTCCTTCATCTCTCTCTATCTTTTTCTCGATGTGTGTTATAATTGGCCATCCAGAGACACACCCCAGTGGTCCCAGCAGCTATAAATATTTAACCTGCGTAAGTCCCCCACTTCTCAGGGCCTGTGTCTTTTTTATGTAGCAGAACGTACACAGGCCAGCTCTAAAGTCAAATGCCCAAGAGCGCCATGGATGGGCGGCCATCTTTGTTTTGAGCGTGCCTGGTGTACCCTGCCTTGGGCTGCATTTCTAAGTATGTTACACCTAAGATGTTCTGGGGAGCCGCGTAATGTGTGTGCTAGAATGTAAACCGAGGCTCTGATTAACACCCAAGGCCTGACTTGTACCTTCTGTTCCACTAAGTAATGATGCTTGACCTGTGTTCAAACAAACACTTTCACTTATGAGGCCATCCCAGGTAACAGGGGATGTCCCCAGAACTTTAGCCAATGTTATTTAAAGGTCTTCTCAAAATTGGCAGAGAATGTTCTTACTGTAACGTTAATGGAATGTTATTTCCATGGTTTATATTTTAGAAAAAGCTCAATGTTAGCACAATAACACCTGATCATCATTTTAACATAATTAATGTTTAAAAATGTTATTTAATAATAGTGCTATACGTCTATGGGAGTGACATGGTGGTGCAGTGGTTAGCACTGTTGCCTCACACCACCGGGACGTAGGTTCGAGTCTCTGCCCAGGTTCTGTGTGTGGAGTTGTCATGTCCTCTCCATGTCATCACCAGGTTTCTTCCATGTACTTCAGTTTCTCTCCCCCCCCCCACAGTCCAAAAACATACTGAGGTTAATTGGAGTTACCAAATTGCCAAAAGGTGTGATTGTACCCTGTGATAGGTTGGTGCCTGCAGTCTCCAGGATAGGCTCCAGACCCCCCACAACCCTGAATAGGACAGTCAGAAGGTGGGTGGGTATATTCAAAACATGCCATCCAGCCTTGAACCCATGACCTTTGAAATGCAAGATAATAGCAGTACCTGCTGATTAACCACACCCTTCATTTGGTTCTGCATTATCACTCTCAGTTAGTAGTAGCAGTGGGATAACGTACTGGGAAGATCAGGAAAACTTTTCCGCACCTTAATCATAACGTTCTGTAAATATTCCTAGAATGATAATGTGTTAGCTGGGATTCTGCATTAGCCAGAGTGGTTTGCTCATATTTTTGGTTACTCGTTGGCAAGTTTCCATGGTAGATGAAAGGTTTTTATGACGCGAGAAAATGTTCACTCATGATAACAGAACTCAAGTACCGCAGACCTGAAGTTATATTCTGCCAAGCTGAGGAACAGATGTACCATAAAGGTTATGTAAGTCCTCCTTTATTTGATTAGCTGAAGCGTTTGTCATGTTTGTATTGCCTCAGCATGCACCTTCAGGTGGCTAGGGCTTTTTTCAGATTAATGTTTTCAATATATTATGCGAGGAGAAGAAATTAGCGACTAGATCAGCAGACATCTGAGCTTGTTGTCAGTATTGAAACAGACAAATTATATCGAATGATGCAGATAGGGATTTATCTAATAAAAATCAAGTTTGTTTTCATGTCTTTGGAATGAGACATTTTAACAAGTAAGCGCACGGAGCGCTGCAGGACGGCTTCTTTCAGGGATGTCGCCTTTTCTGACACATTCTCCGGCTCTGGTCAGCAAAACCTCGCCTGTTATGGCTACCGGCCCGCTTCACGTTCCCAGCTTAATCTTTTCGTCTGGGATGCCGACTTTAGTCAGCCGGCTGGAGTGAGATTTTCAATTCGGGACTAGTCTGCACACGCATTTACATGCATGTAACAGATTATTATTTTTTTAATAGTCTATAGGATTTGCAATCTTCCCCAACGCTTTTTATGCAGTTAATTTTAGGTTTATAATGGAATAATATAGATTTGCCGTAAGATTACTTGCGTGAGCGTGAGAGTCTGAAAGCGTGAGTGTCACGCCAGATGTGTGAGACTTGGCAGCCCTGATTTAATGCGCTACAAAAAAAGGCTCCTTTCAAATGCCGAACGGCCCTTGGCTCAGCTTGTGGGACAAACAGGCGACCTTGTTTCGGTCTGAGAAACACATCTGACCGCTTGCGCCTGAGGTGAAAGAGGAGAGCGGCAGAGCAGAATGGTGGGTTAGTGCTGCGAGGGAGCGCACACCCTCCCCAAGCTGGGCGCTCTCTAATGGCGGGTTGTTTACTGCCGTCGAGGGAGGGTCATTGTCTCTGCCCCTCCAGTGCAGCCTGGCCTGTGTCTGTGGCTAATTGTAACAAATGGGAAGAGAGACTCACTCTCTGCT